CGCTTGCTCGTTTGCCACCTTATATTATAAAAAAAAAATCACAATCTAATTACTTTCTTTACGCACATTATCTCTCCACATATCAATACAACAATAACTTAATAATGAACTAATTTATCAATATGTAAGTTAGTATTTCGTGACGTGGGAGAATTTTACATCCAGGTTACTAGTCGAGGTCGTGCGATTTGCTTACTGTGTCTCCGTGATTCTGTCGAGCTTGGGAAAATGTAACGTTTTTATCGTCTTTTATAACTTTCTTTTCATAAAGATGGTATGTCTGATAGGAAGCAATTCCCACAGAAGAGTATATAATTCAACCCCTTATGATATACTCTGGATATATTTAAGTACAAAGGTGGTTGTGTCAAAATTATATCGACGCGTGAAAAGCCATTTTAGGCGATATATAATAAAGTAACCAGAATTATAGTAATTTTAATCTAGAACAAATCTGAAAATATTTCAATTGAAATTGTTTTCAGGATTTGCTTTTATGTTTTTTTTTTAATTTTTTAATGGCTTTCCATTTAAGTTAAGCGCCAAAGTTTACATATCGACTTGAAGACTATCAACATTTTAATGTTTTCTACTCAATCATATTTGTAGCGTATCAGGTCTTTCTCCTCCTTAAAATATAAAGATCAGATACCTTCTAAAAAAGACATAATTATCTCTGATTTTTCAAATGCCAAGGATGGTTTTCTTTATTTTAAGTTAAATGTAATATGGTACAAATAACAAGAAGTGAATTACGTCATTCAAACTAATGTTATAAAGAGAAAAGATTTGTATTTTTGGATGTATGTATTGAAAGGACTCAAACAACACAGGGCCGATCTAAAAAGTTCCTCAAATTTTTTATTATTATTAAATTTCACGCGGGCGAAGTTGCAGCAACAGGTAGTAATCTATAATTGTAACTATCTGCGATAATTTGTAATTAGTTCTCAGTTTTTATTTTTATTATGTTATGTAATTTAGCTGTAACTTTTCCATAATTATTAAAATCAAAATAAAATGACAATATCTTAGCAGTGGAGAGGCATGATAGTCGTACGTGTATTTAGTACATTGTCATCATCCACTTGCCCTTATCCCAAGGGCGGATCTAGCTTTGGCGCCAGGGGGGGTCACATCACATAGTCGTGGTCAAGTCAAGAGCTTGACAAAATATATTTACATATTACCAGCTCAGGGGCGGGGGGGTCATGACCCCCATGACCATCCTGCCTGGATCCGCCGTTGCCTTATCCCTTACGGAGGGTCGGCACAATATGTGCTGCTCTTCCATACATCTCTTTCAGCCGTCATATCTGAATCCACTCCTTTCTTAAGCATATCCTCTTTCACACAATCCATCCATACTACCTTCGGTCTTCCTCTACCTTTGTAGCCATCCACATTCAATCATAAAACTACTACATTATGTGGAATTTAAATCAAAAAAACCTTTCTCGTTAGGAATTTGGAAAATTTTCATAAACCTATTTACACTCGGATCTTAGTCATGAACTCGAGGCTTTAGGATTTACCTCACGTACATTGATAGTGGAATTTTTGGCTGTTCCCACAACACAATGAGTACACTTCCGTCAATGGTATCCTTTCTGGTATAGCATAAGAAAGTATTGATTATGTTGTGAATATTTTTTATGAGATATGTTTGTCGGTTACTAGTAATTAGCTGTTCCCATGCGACTTCTCCTCATCATCATCATGGCATCGCTTCCTTGATGTTGGCAGCAACTTAAGGTCTCTTTCCCACAGTAGGGTTTTTATCCAAAATATGTACCCCTAAGTTTAATGGCGTGAAAATATATAGGACTTTTTATTAAAAAAGAGTGATTCAAAATATGCTGTAATTGCTGACATCTTAGGCAACACAGAAGTGTGTGTTTACGCTTTATTACGAGTACATTTTACATTTTTGACTAATTCATTCATCATTAGTATGACTAACAATATACATGCGAAAGTTTAGATGGATGGATCGACGGATGGATGTTTGCTAGAGTTTGCAGTCTTAAGGGCTGAATGGATCTCTATGAAATTTGCCATCGACGTAAACGATAGTCTGGAAGAACACATAGGTTAATCAGTTTTGTTTTTTAATGCCACGCGAACGGAGTCGTGGCCGAAAGCTAGTATGATATATACGGGACCCAACTGTATCAACTACACTGCAACTTGACCGTTTTCTTACTCGGAGATAATCCTTTCACTTTCAAGAGTACTTACAGTTCAATGACATTGAATACAAGTTCAAATGATTTTTGTTCAGGTTTCGCTATACGAAGCGGTATTAGATAACAGCAGTGTGAACCCATGATAGGTTCACATGAAGCTATCATGGGTTGGGCAGGGTGAATCCGTACTTACTAAACTAGCGCGTACCATCCTTCGACCACATCTTCACCTTGGTCTAGGTGGGATAGTGGTCAAGCGCTGGTTTTTTGCAATTTAAAAAAAAAAAAAAAAAAGCTGCCAGTTCCCTACCTAATACCTATGGCCTGGTTCTAGCATTGCAGTAAATTTTAAGAAAGCGACATTCAGTGTGAATATATCTTAAAAGCGGACACACACTCTTGACTGAATTATCATACAAATGTTGTCGATTGTCAATTGTTTCGAAGCTAATTCAACTGTTTAGTTGCACAACTAAAAATCGAGTAGTGTGCGCACCTTCACCGCAACTTGTAGGAATCAAAGCGAGACTAAACAGTTTTGCGATAGTTTAGTCAAATGCGCGCTCTTAAATTTCGTCAAAGTGAAAGTTCAATTGTTTTGCTACACGCACTTGACATTGTTGTTAGGAGAACGTGATTTAGTACTTTGTCAGCACATTTAATAATTATTCACGCTTTTCAGCGAGCAATTGAATAATAATATACACTAAAATGTTATTTTATAAAAGTATACATCATACTATTATTTAATAACAGACCCTTTGTAATAAAAAACGGTATACAAGACATACCATAATTTACGTTTGAACCATCGATATAAGCATATGATACTAAGAAAGGGAAATATCCTGATTATGTGCGTCTCCTCCTCCTTAAGTATAGGCAACGCATCCGCTATTGCGAATGTCTATGGGCAGCGGTCGCTTCTTCATTTCGGCAGATTCAAATGGCCGCTTGCTCGTTTGCCACCTTATCATATAAAAAACATTACGTAGAAAAATAGTGCGTACAATAAAAGATTTGAAATCGTCAATGTCAATGTAGTTTTAGTTTAAAAAACGTTAGCTTTGCACAGTTTAAAGCATTTTCTGCCAAGTAAATTGGATTGGGTACGGTCAGCAATATTATTAGTTCGAATCCGCTTGAATATTATCGTAAAATATCGTATTAGTTTCGCTTTAGTTATAAGATTAAAGCTGGGAATACACATGCAAATACATGACTAGTACGTGCCAGTTACAATTATGTGTGAACTCTAACTTGGACTCCCGAAACTGACATGTTTATTCCAAGCCTTAATGAAGATATATATGGTCACTATAAGAGCGGTCCCACACCTTTGACTATCGCGTAACTGTTGTGCGATTGTCGATTGTTTAACAGCCAATTCAACTGTTTATTTGCACAACTAAAAATCGAGTAATGTGCGCACCTCTATAAGTTCATAGGAAACCGAGACTAAACACTTGTGCGATAGTTTTGTTGCAGATGTGTACACGCTCTAAGCACTCGATTGCAATGTAATAGTTAATACATCAATCCGGTTCATATTCTCAATTTGTATAGAAAGTAACATTCTGGAACGATTTACCTAGAAACATAGATACCGGGCGCGTTCGATGTACTTTTAATGTTTGTAAAGTAGAGAAGAGTTAGAAGGAAAAGTGCTAATAAAACAATATACATACGAATTCAGTAAAGTAGTCAAAAATTTATAAAAAAAACACTTAATACTTCAATTAACTTAAGGTAAATAACGTTTTTGTATTAACTCAGGGACGGTCTGAATTTCTAACAAAACATGTCTATTCAAACATTGTTTTGCGTAAATATGTTAAGCGTTAAAGAAATCATTGTGTACCGAATTTTGGGTAATACACAGTCTATTTGTGTGTATTTTATGTGTAATGTGTATTTTGTACACAGGAGGTGTAACATTTTCACGCCCTAGGATATCCCGGCTGGGATGCGGGCAGTGACTACGGATACGACCATTGCGGGAGAGTACGAGAGTATTTTCTAAACTGTCTTTAACCGGACTTAGTTTGATGTAGCGTGTGAAAAAAAAACGTATTCATTATTTTGCACTCAAAAATACAGAAATTAATTTATTAATCTATACTAATGTTATAAAAAAGAAAGGTTTGTATATTTGTATATATTGACATAAATTAAAACTAATGGACCGATTTACAAAAATTTGCAAATGCCCGCGCCTCCGTCCGAATAAAAAAAAAGTAAGTAAACTATGTTTACTTTCAGACTATGTTCCACTTCTATGTCTAATTAGATCCAAATCCGTTCAGCCGTTTAAGTTTCAAAAAAAAACATCCGTCCATCCATCTGAAATATTGGTAAGAAGTATGATATCATTACCCTTAAATTATTTTCAGAAAAAAAAATTGTGCAAATTTTCTTTGTCGACAGTACTACACTTGGCGCAGCGGCAATGGCCTTGTTGGTGTAGAAACTTGGCGAACTGGAGCTAACTTGCTTTATATAGATTACCTGTTCGTGCTCTCTAACGTATAGTTTAGAATTACGTTACGGTTACCTGCGTACCCAGTGGTTAAAATAATTATATTTAAAAGTCATAATATTTCTAATTTTTTGTTAAAAATAGTTTCCTAAGTCTAATATCATAATCATAAAAATGTAATAACAACGGAAAAGAAATGTTACTTGAATGTAAATTAGATTTTGGAGTAAGTCTTTGATCAATTCCAACTTCGTATAGTATGGGCTTTACAAATGTTTTTATTGATAATAGTGACATCTAGTAGAGTTTATATTAACTATTTGTAAAGCTAAACCTGTTGAGAACCAAGAGTTGAAGATGATCATATAGATGGCGCTAATTTATACTTCACATCTCATTATTTATTTTGTTACTACGGCAGTTTGAAGATAGGAATTGCAATTTTTGCATGATTTGGGATAAATAGCACATCCGATGGCCTGCGCTCACTTACCTTCGATGTATACAAGTGACTTGCACTTAAACGCAATTGCTATTATTTTTGTACAGGCGCATACAAATTTTAATGGCTGAATTTCGTGTCAGGTTTTTAGTTAAATTGTAAACAATTTATTTTACGTTTTAATATCTACTAAACTTTTTAAAAACTCTTAAAAGTTGTGGAGGTGTATACAGGGTGAATTGAATAAAACAATTTTATTTTCAATTAACAATAATGGATTTAAATAAATAATTTAAATAAATTATTCCTTACAAATAGGTCACATTCTCGCTACTATCATCAATATATTTCTGTATATTAAAGTCTTCTTTTGTTTTCTTGTTTGTATTGTGTCCATCCCCTGTAAGGTAGTGGTGTATCAATGTCTCTCCTCTTCCGGTGATGTCCGTGCCCTGCGTAGATTACTTGGTGATCATCGTGGTCGTCGTGGGAAGCGAGTTTCTTGACGCCCACGATAGCTGACAGCATTAATGCAAGCGCTGATGCTGCTAGCGCCTGGAATACGACATTCAAATGTTTTAATACTAGAGATTCGATTGTTTTACTAAAGGCATGTCCCACCAAATACAAATTGTCTGATAACAATCTAACATGTAAAGTATGTGATGGAAATATCGGATTTTGTTACCTTATCTAATAGCAATGTAATTTTTAAGCTATCTGAGCTTCTATCAGCCAGTGATGGGACAGGCCCTAGCATTTGTGAATGTACAGTAAAATAAAAAGGCATCTCTGCCAATTTAGTTATGTTAGAGAATATTGACTGAACATATTTGAACATTCTCACGAATAAGGGCGTGTACACAGATAAAAATAAACTATATATTATAACTGTTTTGTCTCGTTTTGATTCCTATAAACTTATTAAGAGGTGCGCACACTACTCGAGGTTTAGTTGTACAACTAAATAGTTGAATAGGCTGCAAAACAATCGACAATCGCACAGCAGTTGTGCGATAGTTTAGTCAATATCGAATTACGCTATTAAAAATTGTTTGCCAAGACATTTTTTTAAAAATGAAAAAGTAGTAAAGGTATACAAAAGTATCTACTTTCACATATACAAGCAAAACACATACAAAAAGCCTAGATTTTTTATATCTTTCGTGTGTAATATTCAACATAGGAAAGTAGACGCTTGCAACAAAACGAATAAATAGCGACGCGTTTCTCTTTACCACGCGACATGACCATCGAGATGTGTTTTCCACTCTCTTATTATATGTACACTAGCTGTTCCCGTGCGGCTTCATCCGCATGAAATTATAATCACTTTATTTTATTGTTTACATTTGTCAAATGTCAAAATACAAATGCATAAATGACAACCTTGCTTCCTTGATGTTGGCAGCAACTTATGGTCTCTTTCCCACATTAGGGTTTTTATCCAAAAATATATAGTCTAAAGCGTGACGTTTTTATTTAAAAAATAATTATTCAAATACATATATGCTGATATTGTATAGTGTACAGTCAGCGTCACAAATGTACATACAAAACATAAGGTTTTGTTTCTAAATTTTTCATGCACTCGTTATTAAAATATTTTAAAGCTGAAATCATATATTAGTTAGTGTAGGTAAATGTTTACATATTTATACAACTAACTTGTTCTGCGTGATTGTACTTGTTCTTAAAAGCGGGCGTACACCTTTGACTAAACTATCATATAACTGCCGAGCGTTTTTCGATTGATTCACAGCAAATTCAACTGTTTAGTTGCACAACTAAAAATTTAGTAGTGTGCGCCTTCATATAAGTTCAAAGGAATCAAATCGCGACTAAACAGCTGTGCGATAGTTTGGTCAAATGTGTGCTTGCGCTATAGATGTCTGTAATGCTTATACCTTCATAGTAAGTAGACCCAAGCCGCCGATACCTGCTGCTCCTATAGTCTTCGCAAACATGAGACCCAGCAGCGCCAGACCACCTCCGCCGTCACCCTTGCCTCTACCAGTCGCTGGAAATAATATCATAATTTACTCGAAACTAAGTTTTGTATAATGAACAAACCAGCGCTTACCATAATCATCTGTTTTATTTAAATCTATACTAATATAAAAAGAGACTTGTATTTTTGTATGTATAGGAATAACTCAAAAACTACTGGATCGATTTTAAAAATTATTTCATTGTTACAATGGTAATTTATCTGTGAGTAACATAGGCTATATTTTTAGTCCTACGCGTATAAAGTCGCGAGCAACAGATAGTCTATACTAATATTATACAGAGGAAAGATTTGTATTTCTGTATGTATTGAAATAACTCAAAAACTACTGGGGCGATTCAAAAAATTCTTTCACCATTGAAAATTTGCATTATCACTGAGTAACACAGGCTATATTTAAACTACTTTTTTTAATTTCACGTAGACGAAGTCGGGAGAAACAGCTAGTGAAGTACGAAACCATATATATAAAGTACTAACTAGTTAAATAATAGTACCGTTATTAGCGAAGGACACGGTTGCATATAATGCTGCTATGTGACTAAACTATAGCACAACTGTTTAGTCTCGCTTTGATTCTTATGAGCTTATGGAGGTGCGCACACTACTCGATTTTTAGTTGTGCAACTAAACAGTTGAATAGACTGCGAAACAATCGACAATCACAGGTGTGTGAGGGCTCCAAAAACATATTTTCTGCCATAGAACAGTTAAAAATCTTTTAAAAAAGCTGTAATTTTGATTGTATACTTTTCCATACGGTATTAGAAATTAATATTTAGTTTCTGTTTACCTCTTTTTAAAATATCGCTATAGTTTAGTTTTAGTCTTCACTTGTTATGGTCCGGAATTATAATGTTGGTTAAACTTGGTTGACATTGGTCATGAACAAAAATTACTTACCATTATTACTCTTGTAAGATTCATCCACGATCTTCAAAGATTCGGCCAACAAATTACTTATTTTATCCTTTTCGATTATGTTCGGCAATTTGACATGTAGTTCGTGTCCTTGTAGGAATTTGGCCATTCGGTATAATGGCGAATTATCGAAAGATCTGCCTTCATCTATACTATTAGACACTGGTGTACTGACTAGTTTAACACCATCAGTTATGTCAAAATCTCCATCCAGTAATGAACCTAAGCCTAATGTTACGATAGTTACAAACACGGCAGCCTCTCGATACATTTTCTCTAAAAGATGTTCGATCAATAAGCTAGAAAAGGAGGTATGAATGCTTTTATAGTGATAGCTTTCAAAAAAATGAAAAACTAAATAGCAATTGCTCTTGCGACGCGAGAGTAAAAAGAATGTGGGTTATTCTGTAACGTTTTGTAACTTATTTTAACTACAACTAGCTTGCTCGCGGTTGTCCGCGTGGACTTTAAAAAACAGTTGAATATATCAGCTTATGTTGCTTAGTGGTAACGTAGTTTTTTAATGGTAAAAGAATTACATACAAAATTAATCTACATTGCTTTTTTTTGTATTATTTTGTGTTTTACATGTGTGTCTGTCATGGAAATTATAAAAACGAATTCAATAAAATATTATATAATCAAAGACAGCTGATCACAGAGAGATAAAACAGAATAAAAATCTCGAATCAATCATGCTGTGAGCAAATTAATGTATATTTGTGATGCAATAAGTTATTTCTTATTCTATGTTACAAGTATGTAAAAATAAAAAAAATCAAAATTTCAATCTACATTTGTACTTGAAATTATTAATAGGTTGAAATTTTAAAACTGAAATTGCATTTATTAAGTGAACATGTTAAAATTATAGTTGCAGAATAACCCAACGGACGACATTGAAACAAATTACAAATAAAACTAAAACAATAGTTTGTAGTAAGCGTTAATATTTACTGGAAGTGACAAACTAAATACCACACTTTTCATTCATTAAAAAATCTTTCATTTTAAAGACAAACTTTCTTCAATACATATTGATATTGATATTGATATTGAATAAAAATTATTTAAAAATTAATGAAAATTCAATAATTTTTAAGGCATATATTTTCTAAAAAACAGTAAATATTATATACTTTAATACATTTATTAAAAGACATAACTTATTTCCTATTTAAATTATTGTACTGAAAAAATGCCACATCTAGTATTAAATATCTATGTCGTCGACAGTGAAATAACACTTCAAACGAGCGATTTCCGCCGGCGGCTACAAATAACCGCGAAGGTTTTTCTCTATTTAAATCTTTAGTTATGGCGAGTGAGAGTGGTAGGACTGAAAGTTGAATAGAACGTAAGGGCCCTAAAAACCCACTATATATTTAATCAATACTAACCTATACTAATATTATAAAGAGGAAAGATTTGTATTTTAGATTTTAGTAAGTATTAAAATAACTCAAAAACTACTGGGCACAATTCAAAAATTATTGCTTGTTAAAAAAGCTACGTCATAACATAGGCTATGTTTTTTATTATTTTTTAATTTCACGCGAAAGATCTTGCAGGTACCAGCTAGTTAGTTATAAAGAGGAAAGATTTGTATTTTTATATAACTCAAAAACTACTGGGGTGATTTTAATAATTCTTTCACCATTAGAAAGGTAATTTATCTGTAAGTAGCATATTTTTTATTATCTTTTTAATTTTAAATTCGCGAGCATTAGCTAGTCACAATTAAATACCCTATTCATTAAAGCATTTATTAATTTGGTTTAAAATAACTTCCCTATTATCAACATCATGTGTCCCCACTGAGAACCTCAAACCCATCCCTAAATCAGGGGTTAATAGGCTACACCATAGGCAATCCGGGTTGACACATCTTTGAATTTCTTCTCCGATATGCAATTTGCATTACGATGTTTTATAAACGTTAGATATATTTCGATATAATGAGCGTATATGACAGTTCCAAATAGTTCAAATCCATGTTAATTTATAGGTAACTTAGATTATGGTTTGCTTTCGCTGTGATGTAGGTTCATTAATTAGCTTGCTCGATGCGACGATATTACGTTACGCCATTAGGGTTGTCAAAGTGAACTAACAAATCGACTTCAATTTAATGTTACAGCAGTTAGTTGAAGTTATGTCTTTCAGGTAAATTGTTGAGTTTCCATTGTTGATATAAATACAAACAATTTTGCCTCTCAATTGTACTGTTTAGTTAAAGATGTAATTTATAATTAACAGTGGTTAAACATCTAATCCTGCTTTAACATCTTCGCAGGAATGGGTAGGCTCGCCCCCAGCAATACCACGACCACACAGAACAGGCGTGAAGTGGAAGCAATTCCATGTTTTGTCTGATGAGTGTGGTGCCGGAGACCTAATATTAGTCCATTTACCTTTTCACCCTTTTCTTATGAGGAGAGGATTGAAAGGAAAAATGGAATTGACGGAGGAGATGCATAGGAAGGAGAAAGAGACGCACATAAAGAGGACATTCTTTATGTGCGTCTCTTTCTCCGTCAATTAAGGGTAGGTTGCGCAACTGCAAATGCGGATGTTTATGGGGAGCGGTCGATTTCCATTTCGGTGGATTCTGGTGGTCGCTCGCTCGTTTTAAAAAAAACAAGTATGATTTGAAATAGGTTTTGACTAAAAGTAAAGCGTAGCGTTAGGGTTAGTAGTCCCCTACCCTACCAACGATCACTTTAGTAGAACAACCCTACAAATATAATTTATAGCGTAATTAATAATCACTAACGTTAATTGTTATTAATCTTGATTAAGGTAGGAACCGACATATGTTTGATTTAATATTAAATTATCTCTGTAACATATTTGAAATCCTTACATAGAACAAAGTCGCTTCTTACTGTCTATATGCTTAGATTACCACTGGCTGATAGACGCTCAGATAGCTTAAAAATGACGTAACTATCTGATAAGGGAACAACATCCTAAATTTCCATCAAGTATTTTACACGTTCGATTATTATCATACAATTCACAATTCGGTAATATCTATACTAATATAATAAAGCGTAAACACACACTTATTTGTTGCCTAAGATGTCAGCAATTACAACATATTTTCGAATAACTCTTTTGTAAATAAAAAGCCCTACACTTACCTCACGCTTTAAACTATATATTTTCACGTCGTTAAACATAGGGGTAAATATTTTGGATAAAAACTTTAATGAGGGAAAGAGACCATAAGTTGTTGCCAACATCAAGGTTGCCATTGCTTGACATCATGTCATGTCATTTTGACATTTTTTGATAATTTGACAAATGTGAACAATAAAATATTTTTTTTTTAAATTTTATGCGGATGAAGTCGCATGGGAACAGCTAGTTGACTATAAGTATCTTTAATTTACCGTAATTCATTAACTAATTAACACATGAAATAATTTAAATGCTCGCATTTCATTACAAAGGTGCGGATATAACTTTCGATTGTCAACAAAAAAACCGATACGACAGACAAGTCGACCAATACTATTGTTGAATTAAAAATAGAGTAAATAATAAAACAGGCTTTCTATTGCGCCAATCTATTGCGTTATACTTTCACTGTTGCGTCAGGTTTTTTAAGAATACGTCCGTCCTTGTCCTTCTCTATTTGAGATTTAAGATCTAGTTTTCGTCTAGAATCTGTTATGTAATGCAGAGTATTAAAGAGTTAACTCCAATATAATAATACTAATATTATAATTGCGAAAGTTTAGATGGATGGATGTTTGTTAGAGTTTGTAGCCTAAACTGCTGAACGGATCTAGACGAAATTTGACATAGACGTAGAGCATAGTCTTGTAGAATGCAACGCAAATGGGCAGTAGCCTATGTGTAAGTGAATACTTTGTTTGCTTTTATTAATTCCACGCGGTCGGAGTCGCGGGCAAAAGCTAGTAACGATACATAAATATGAAGTAGCTGGGTTTTAAAGGTTTAGTTCTCGCGAAATTAAAAAAGTATCACTAAATGGTTTATGCAATAGTTTATGTTCTATTCCAGATAATAATATTTTTGTTTTGTTCATTTCATTCAAATTCATTCAGATGTTTTGTTGCTAAAAACATCGATTAACATTCATTTAACATACTAGTTAATGTCCGCGTAGAATTAAAAAGTAATTGGCTTATATATTTTTCAGACTATCCCCTACATCTATTCCAAATTTTATCAAGATCCGTTCAGCAGTTTAGGCTACAAACTCTAACCAACATCCATCCATATAAACTTTCGTATTTGTAATACTAGTATGATTATTCAGATTTTACAAATTAAAAAGTATTCTAACTTCTTGTTACATGCGAAGGAAACGATTTAACTATTTAACTCCACGTTATATGTAAATGTTCGACTTCCATGTTTTCCGTGTAGGAACGGAAAAGTCTGAGCAAAGTCGGGCCAATTATGTCCGCACGAATGCGATAGCAACCTGTCAACCGTGACGCAGCGCGGAGACAGAAGAAAACTAATGCTAATAATTGTAACAAAGAGTAGTTTATTACAGAATGGTCACGACGAAGGGTTCCGACGCGCACGGATATCTGCAACGCCAAGAGAACCTCAGTTGCCTGCCTTTTTAGGAATACGTTCTTCTCTTTATTAGTTAATGAACATATATTCAAGACAGTTGAAGATAAACAAAGTGCGCTGATATGCATAAGTCAACCTAAATGAGGATAGCAAACTACCACCCTCTTGCCAACGTCACAAAGTGTACTATAGCTTAACAAACCTACCTTCACTGGGCTAGATTAATAAAAAAAAATAAAAACAATTTTATTGATTATTATTAGATAAATTTATTGTACTTCAAATAATTTCTATTAAGCAAAATACAAATTAAAATTTGTATTAAGAAAATAAAATACAGTATAAAACGATTTTTTGTTTTTCATTTTAAAGTTGTTGATTTTTTTATCAAAGATAAATTAAATAGCGTGTAAACAACTTGTCTTGTCTGCAATAGAGTTTTTAATCTAGGAAATTGGTTTATCGAGTATTTGCGCCGCGTGTCTGTATTGTTCCTTCATTTCTTGTATCGCTCACTTCCTAATTTACTTATTTATACGTCCATTTCGACCGATAATTGGGAAATTACTGTATTTTTGATATCACATAGTTACGTTATTAAAAGAAATTTATATCTATATCTATACTATTATAATAAAGCGTAAACACACACTTCTTTGTTGCCTAGGATGTCTGCAATTACAGCATATTTTTGAATAATTCTTTTTATATTAAAAAGCCCTACATTTACGTCACGCTTTAGGCTATATATTTTCACGTCATTAAACTTAAGGGGTAAATGTTTTGGATAAAAACTCTAATGTGGGAAAGAGACCATAAGTTATTACCAACATCAAGGAAGCAATATTGCCAAGGTTTGTCATGTCATTTTGACATTTACTATTGATAGTTTGACACATGTAAACAATAAAATAACATTTTCATAATTGTATGCGGATGAACATGCGGACGAAATATTTGTATTTTTGTATCTATTGAAATAACTGAAAAACTACTATTCCGATTTCATAAATTCTTTTATAAAAAATTATACGTTATCAGTGAGTAGCATAGGCTATATTTTTTATTATTTTTCAATCTCACGCGAAGGAAGACGCGAGCAACAGCTAGATTAATATTAACACAATTCTTCCGACAATTAAAAATATACGAAGACAGTTAAAAAGCTATAATAAGTACCTGATATATAAGAATTGAATATCACAGAAAAGTACAAAGGGGTAGCGTTTCAATACCTTACTTGAATACAGTGCGAAAGCACATTGGAAATCCAATATCCGTCTGAAGTAACCACAAACAGTCTCCCAATACAGTGCGATGGCGTGTTTGTGAATCAAATCCCCAACATTTTAGAGGGTCTATCACGAATATTTGCATGATGGTTGCGAGTATTCGTATCGCAATCGATAAAAGTTATATGTGAACTACACAAACCTAATATAAATTTTATTAATGACTAGCGATCTGTCCCAGCTTCGCACGAGTCCAATGCTAATAAGAAAATTTGTTTAATGTGTTTATTATATTATACACTAGCTGGTGCTCGCGACTTTGTCTGTTTGAAATTAATAAATAATAAAATACATAGCCTATATTAAAACAGATAAATTATCTTTCTAACCGTGAAAGAATTTTTAAAATTGGTCCAGCAAATTTTGAGTTGTTTCAATAAATACAAAAACAAAAATACAAATCTCTTATCTTTATTTTAGTAAGATTAGTATAGATATAAATATAATCATACATAGACACAGACAGACAGCGGTAAGCGAATTTGTTTTATGCAAACGTTCTCATGAATATTCCTGATAGCCCCCAATTTATAGTTTGGTTATAATACGATAGTAGCGTTAGCAAGAAAGTCATAATATTTACATGCAGTTTCAGAAATCTCACCATATCGTGATATCGTAAATCTTAAATCTAACAATAGATGGCGTCAGTGGTCATTTTTTAAGACACTGTTTTCTAAATAAAAGTTATCAATTTAAAAACGCTTAGGAGTAATTTTTTTTTGAAACCAGTTCATATTATTCTAAAAGCTAAGTAAATCATTTGAAAAATAGGTTTGCCTATTTTAAACAAAAACTTTTTTAAGTAATTTTACAAAATGTATTTTAAGTTGCTTTTATCAATAATAATTGAATTTCTTGTTGTATATTGTAAAAAGTTTATTAAAAAATTAATTCGTACATTAAAAACGGAACCCCAAAATTAACAGGATGGAAAAGTATTTATATTTTAACGGGGACTCTTCAAAAGCATTAAAGATAAAAATTTGAATAGAATTTCGGGTTTGGGATAATCTTTATTTCCTTTTAAATTGCGCCATCCTTAAAGCTCAATAGAATTTCTGGATACAATTTTGCAAAGTCACTGTATTTTAGTTACAATTGTGTTTTTCTTTTTGTGTTAGTGGTGGACTGTATGTTGGTTTGTAAATAAATGATAGGCTGGTCGATTGGATCATATATTGGTCAAAATATTTACAAGTAGCAATTGATTAAGTGTATGTCTTGTCTTGTGGTCGATAGGAGCGCAACTGGCCGGCGCGTGAGGGTTGCAAGGTGCGTTGCAGTAAAACGCAACACTTGTTTTACGAAAATCCGTGTAATTTTTATGTACATTTTGTTTTATAAGATTTTATAAGATACACTATTTATTTAAATATTCTATTCTAGTAGTATAAAGAGGTAAATTTGTATTTTTGTATTCATTGATATAACTTAAAAACTACTGAGCCAATTAAAAAAATTCTAACGCCGTAAGAAAGGTAATTTATTTGTGAGTAACAGGTTACGCACTTTTACTATTTTTTTAATTTCAAACGGGCGAAGTCGTGTGCAACAGGTAGTTTTAATTAAAGTAAATGTAACGCCGACTCTAGTTTAATATTTGGTTAAAAAAGTTACTTCAAATTACCTTTTTGTATAAAACTAGTTTAATCCAATCTTAATCCTTACATGCTATCCGTATTTATGAAAGTAAAATATCATTTCACCAAACTTTTTAATCGAAACCGTATAATGCGTAACGCGTAAATTTTTTTCAATCCCCAATCACCAATTCACAATACTGAACTCTATGCGGAAAACCGATGTAGGTATTTCAAATATATCGATTAACAGTGGAAAGAAAAGTGGTATACTTAAATGTAGGAACACACACGAGGCGTTGTTGAAAAAAATAATGCACACACGAACCGCTAAAGGCATTGCAGCGTGACGTAGGATAAAAATCATCATCAGAACTAACAAAGTCTCATTGACGAATGAACCACCGATGTAGGTGGTACGTAATTAGGTGACATACAAATGGATTGGTGATTAGTGTAATTGTGTTTGGTGGCAATACAGTGCGTCAAAATGACTGGAATTTATATAATCGCTGTTCTACTCATCGGTCAGATTAGCGCGGAGGTGGTCGAATTAAGTTGCGCCGATAACGCGACCTGTATAAATAATTTGGGTAGGCAGTTGTATACGAGTATAAAGCAACGTAAAACAGTAAGGTTATTCGATTTGATAACTATTGAACCGTTAAGGACTAGAGAATCGAGGTCGTATAAAGGACCATTAACAAGGTTGCTAACAAGCCATGCTATCAGCTTCGATTGGAATGATTTCACCTTCCGACTATCGAATCCCGATGACAAAGATGATTCCATGGATTTAGAAGTGTTCGAGAATAGATCCAATAAAGGTGAGTGTACACTTGACAGTAAGCTTCTACTGTCGTTACATTTGGAAAATAAACTTATAACGAACTTAAGACAATCAGAACCTATAATTCTTATTTGTAACGTTCTTCTTTTACACCGAATTAGTATTAAACTAATTTAAAAGGATAGAACAAAGTCATGCCATAAATGAACAAAGACAATAATAAGTTTTTGCGTCCAAAAGTCACTTTTTAGTATGGACGTAATCATACTGAACTGATACTAAAATAAATGCGAAAGTTTAGATGGATGGATGTTTGTTAGAGTATAAACGGCTGATCGGATTTCGATGAAATTTGGTATAGATATAGGCCAAATTCTGGAAGAATACATAGGCTATTGTCTTTTGTTTTTTTTTTAATTTCAAGCGAACGGAGTCACGCGCGAAAGCTAGTTACGCATATTTTTATAGCAAGTCCTTCAATACGTCCTCCTAAGATTGTCAGAAAAGAAAAAAAAAATTGGCACTTTTTCAAAAAAGTTCGGCTCGTGAGGGAATTGAACCCCCGACCACCATTATTTAAATATTAAACAGGCGCTCTAACCGCTGAGCTAACGAGCCTGCGCATGACTGAGTAAAATGAAATACAGTAATCAATTTTGCGTCCACCTAGTTTGCGCTTTATCCGATAGATGGCGCTTATTTCAAATGTAACTCACTATGGCGTTAGTTCGTGTTTAACAACACTTAATAAAGTATTTAAAAAAGTATGTCGATAATTATTCAATTATACTAGTTATCTAGATCGAATGCGATCTATTTAGATGTATGATATGAATAATTCAGACGGTTTTCTACGGCCGCATGATTCCATCACGCGATCTGAAACAAGTAGTCCATAAAAATTAGATTCATCGTCACAATACGATGACTCTTAACATATACGTAGGATAGATCCGTGTATCCGGTATTAATAAGTATCTTTTTTTTTATAATATAAGGAGGCAAACGAGCAACGGTCACCTGAATCCACCGAAATGGAAAGCGACCGCTGCCCATAAACATCCGCAATTGCAGATGCGTTGCCTACCCTTATTGACGGAGGAGGAGACGCACATAAAGAGGACATTTCCACTTCATATGCGTATCCTCCACCGTCAAATCCACTTTTCCTTTCCATCCTTTTCTCTTAAGAAAAGGGTTGAAAAGGAAAGGGACTAAAATTAGGCCTCCGGCACTACACTCATCAGACGAGATACGGAATTGCTTCCACTTCACGCCTGTTTTCTGTGTGGTCTGGTATTTCATAACTATACCATACGTCAATCTTACTAATATTATAATTGCTAAAGTTTAGAGGGATGGATGGATGGATGAATGTATGTTTGTTAGCTATTATAACTAGCTGTAGCCCGCGACTTTGTCCACCCAATAATAAGATAAAAGAGTAGCCTATATTGAGCCCATCTATGTCAACAAACGCAACTCGCGGACAGACAGAAATAAAAAAAGCGATTTTCATTATCAATAACGCAAATACATCATCTTCCCGGAATCTGGAATTTTTCTTTTGTTATTACAAACAGACACTCCAATTTTATTATACGTCAATTTTCAATACATACAAAAATATAAACTTTTTTATAATAATAGTATAGTTGGAAAAAAATAAGAATATAGTAGATAAAATAGAATTATGATAGTCCTCTACTCCTTCGTACCATTTTCTTAAGATCGTGGGCGTCGCCAGCCAATAAACTAGACTAGGTCTAGGGATACTTTCCATTGCTATGGACTCTTATAATTTTTTCTTACATTTTTTCTACATTTTTAGACTCACTAAAGATGAAAGAAAATCTGAAAGAGCTTTGTTACATTTTTGGTTAGGTTATATCAAAATTATACGATAAAATAGCTTTATAATTTTGATCACAGTTGTAAGAGTTGGTTTACTCCACGTTAACAGCTTCACATTGTTAGACCAATGGGATAAGTTTTTACGCGTTCGTATTTCACTGCCGTTGTCTCGTAAAGTCGTGCGATAAAAGCATTACGTAGCAACCCTTCCGCATCTGATAAAAGTGATACCATACGGCTACCCACGTGTAATGTAAAACATCGACTATAAAAATTTATTACGTCATAAAATTTACGATCTCGACGACTTTGGCAGGTATATATACGCTGCGTAAAACTATTCTCATAGTACCTTGTTTTCTAAGCCTGAACATTTTAAAACGAATTGCATTTCACACTAAAACTCTTAAACATCTCGATATGTCCAAATAATTACGTAGTAACTATTATTAATGTAGTACAAGCTTTAGCCCGCGACTTCGTCCGCGTGGAATAAAAAAAAACATAAGTAAGTAGCATGTTCCTTCCAGACTACGCTCTACATCTATACCAAATTTCATCGAGATCCGTTCAGCCGTTTAGGCTACAAACTCTAACAAACATCCACCTAAACTTTCACATTTATAATATAATATTAGTAAGATAATAAGATTAAAAACTATGGACGTAGAGCGCGTGTTATGAATCTTAGATGGCTAGATGACGTCATACAAGATCTTTAGAATATCGGCGTCAAAGGCTGGTCAAAAGGCCCAAAAACAAATATGGCGAAATTGACTGTTCCAGACCCAAACTCTCCGTTGCAGTGCCTCAGTTGATGATGCTTTAAAACTTTTATATTATTAAAATATGTTTGAAGTATTATTTAATACTTATAATATACAATATCATTGCATTTAATCTTACAAAATTTCAGGAAACAATTGAATTACGTAATGGCCGCCATGTTTGACATGAGTTTCATTTGTTTCACATGAATTTTGGACGGTAATACACTTTCCAGTAAAACAAAGTAGTAACTGGCATAACAGATTATGGCATGTGCTACCATGTAGTATTATGCGTATACGCATGCCAGTAAAATGTCAACTAGATCTTATGAAACGAGATACGACTGTCATATTGAATAAATCTCAGTCCATTTTTCCAACTAAAAGTAACTATAAGAGCGGGCGTACAGTTTTGACTAAATTATCGTTCAAATGTTCTGCGATTGTCGATTGTTTAGCAACCAATTCAACTGTTTAGTTGCACAATTAAAATCGAGTAGTATGCAACTCCATATAGGCTCATAGGAATCAAAGCGAGACTAAACAGTTGTGCGTTTTTAGTTGAAGGTGTTCGCACGCTCTTAATTGTATTGTATCAACTAAGAAGTTTTGTTAAGAACAAAATTAGTACAGTGCTGTATAATTGGCGCAACTCTAGATTATCATATAAACGTCACGTCCCTAGCTGACAGCTGTCAATGTCACTAAAAGGATGAATATTGGCACGCATCCTGACTCCTGACGAGAAGTGTTGCTCTGAGTTTAAAGCGACAGTATCAATTAAATAAGTTGTCTAAAACAACTTAGTCACTTAGCGCCCGTCGCAAGTTAGAATTATGTAAATTACGGCTCCATCTAAGTATAACTTATCTTTGTTTTTCAGATGAACCAGAAACAGTACCAAAGAAGACAGCTGTTAAAGCAGAAGACGAGTCCGAAGACAAATTACCAAAGAGTCGTATCAGTAAGTAAATTTTAGACAAAATTACTAGTGTCATATTTTTAAAATTGACTACAGCAGTCGTTTTGCACCAAGGTATAAGTATAAATTAAAAATACCGTAATCTATAATACTCAAGGGAAGAGTGCGACTCGAACTAGAATTATCTCACTTGTAGAAATAATTGTTTACGTATTGCTTTAAGGGCGGGGTTAGGCGACCGCCCAGGGCGAACAGAAAAAGCTACAAGTTTGCCAAGATTGTTACGCCCTCCCCTCAAAGCTGGATAAATTTGAGAAATCGTTAAAACTATTCCATAACATAAGAGTGTTACGGCCAAATATTGAAACGAATTTTACATAGCTCGCAACGTGAGCACCTCTTACAATCTGATAGACGTTAAAGAAAATAATTTAGATTTAAATCATAGCCTTATCATTTAGGACGCTGTTACACTTACATGTTTAAATAACGTTTCAGTATTTGGTCGATAACCTCCTACAACTTTCAACATAGCAAAGAAACTAAGCTACAAATTTACATTCAAAAAACATAGGTGCAAAATTTAATTCTATTCATTGCGTTAATATGAAAATATCAGAGGTAAAATTATAATTAACATTTGAATAATACAATAATCGTTCATGTAGATAAATTCACATCAATTGTTACTAGAAATTTGACCGCAAAACGCTTTAATGAAGTTCGAAATAGACTATAGAGGTCGGTGTTTTCCGCAAACGCTTTACTGAAGTGTATGTTAGATGCCAAAGGTAAAGAAAATGTTGTAATTAATTAGCAGAAATATTGTTATAACATTTCTAAAATAAACATAAAACACGTGTATAGAGAAACTCCTAATTTATTCGATTGTATAATAATACAAAAGGTAATTTCAAAAACCATTCTTTAGCGCTATTGTATATGCAATTTACCTTTTCTCATTACCGGAATAAGACTCAACAATCTTTGAATTTTATCCTATTATTTTTACCTTCATAAATATCGCTTATAAAATTACTATTTAAGTATACTTGATTCTTGAAATCTACACATGTAATAAAATTGGAATGTCTGTTTGTTATATCAAAAGAAAAATTCCAGATTTCGGGAAAATGATGTATTTGCGTTGCTGATAATTAAAATCGCATTTTAAATAATTTGTCTGTCTGTCCGCAAGCCGCGTTTGTTCCGGGTAATCTGTGAAACGGCTGGGCCGATTTCGGCCGCACTTTCACTGAAGGGTCTCTGACATAGAGGGGCTTATTATATGCTACTTTTTTATCTTAATATTGCGTAGACGAAGTCGTGGGCAACAGCTACTTATAGGTAAATGTATAGACGTGTGTTTGGGCAAAATTTTCTTTTTAAACAAATGCGAAATGAGGTCACGCGCGTCTTTTGCTGTTGTATAAATATTTAGGGATGGGTGGAGGCATTTTTAACGTAAGTTCCTACCAAAAGGTTATCTCTGTTTTTTCCTTTCCTTTTTGTGAGTTTACACATGTATTTTATATGTCAGTGATGTTTATTTAAAAATAAACAGTTTGACTACATAGAGATAAGGTTTTCATGCTTTATTCCAGAAAAAGTCAACTACCGAGGAACTGACCGTCATTTATTTCACATGTTTTGCCACGAAACGTTGGAGACATAAACAAGAAAGTGTTAAGATTGAATATGGATGGTTACAAAGGTAGAGGAAGTCCGAAGGAAGTATGGATGGATTGTGTGAAAGAGGATATGCTTAAGAAAGGAGTGAATTCAGATATAACGGCTGGTAACGATGTATGGAAGAGCAGCACATACTGTGCCGATCCTCCGTAAAGGACAAGGGCAAGTTGATGATGAGGAACTGACCGTCATATAAATAATAATAAAAGTTTTCTATTAACAATTACACGGATTTTAATAATTCTACACATGATTAAAGAGTACAGAGTGTAGATTTACTAGGATAGTGTAAAAACGCTATTGAAAATCTACATCTCCAGTAACAACTAGCTCTTTCATGCGGCTTCATATACATGAAATTATAAGATCTTTATTTAATTTTTTACATTTGTAAAATTTTCAATGGCAAATGTCAAAATTCAGATGCACAAATAGCAACCTTGCCTTGCCAACCTTAATGTTGGCAGCTTGTAGTTTAGGGCCCCTTTCCCACAGAAAGGTTTTTCCAATTTATTTACCCCGTAAGTTTTATAGCGCCAAAATGTATAGCCTAAAGCGTGTGGTGTGTGAAGGGATTTTTATTAAAGGGAGAATTATTAAAAAGAATACCATGATCGCTGACATCCTATGTCACGAAGTAATGTGTGTTTATGCTTAAATAGTGTACCTAGATAAACTTGAAAGTCCACCTTGAAAATCGCTGCATCTTCGCATGACGATCTTTTTATCTCCTCGCTGTCCCCTAACGGCTAAAATCTACGCTATTTACTTTACCTCGTATGCGAAGGTCGTAATATCATTTTGTTCGTCAGTTTTTTTTATATTATAAGGTGGCAAACGAGCGGCCACCTGAATCCGCCGGAATGGAAAGCGACCGCTGCCCATAAACATCCCCAATTGCAGATGCGTTGCCTATTCTTAATTAACAGAGAAGAAGACGCACATAAAGGGGACATTTCCCCTTTATATGCGTCTTCTCCTGTGCGACTTTTCCTTCCCATCCTTTCCTTTTAAGAAAAGGGTGAAAAGGGAAAGTAAATAAAATAAGAATATGCTTAGATATGAAGTAAATTGACATTGTTGAATTTAAAACGATCTGGAATACATTGGATTCCTTTCAAGTTGTTGCGAATAATTTATGTGTTTTCACCTCGCGGTTCTCGGTAGCGATCTCTAAGTTTGCGTGACACACAAGTATTTACACGTCCCGTTCACTTTCTTTCTGCTCTCAGATATTTACATTTTATCACGAATTGTAGCATTTTTTCATGTTTAGTTGAATTAAATTTCTTTAAATCCAGGAATTAATTAAATTAGGATTTATCCATATTTAATTCTATCTTAAATAAGCATTTACAAAACGTTATAATACTCATTTTTTATACTATTTAGGAACAACTTAGCAGCCTATCTCATTGGAACAATTTGAGTTTTTAATGTCAACTTTTTTGGTAAGTTAAATTTGTAGAAATGAAAAAAAAAATGTGTTATTACGTTACAATATATGTTCGATTATTATCAAACTAGCTGTTGCTCGCAACTCCGTCCGCGTAGAATTAAAATAGAAATAAGCCTATCTCATATAACTCACAACTTAGCTTTTTAATAGTGAATACATTTTTAATATCAGCCCAGTAGTTTTTGAGTTATTTCAATACATACAAACATACGAATCTTTCCTCTTTATAACACTAGTATAGATTAATTGCTTATTAACTTTTCTTTCTTTTGTAAACAATCAGCTTATTCTAAAGATATCTTTATTCTTATATTACCAGGAATTCGTCATAAAAAGGGAATTAGTACAAATACGAGTAAACACGAAATATCGTAAAATGTACGACCACTTAATACACAGTCGTAAAATAGTTACCATACTCGTATCTTATCTGTGTACAGAATGTAACAATTCTCCTTCAGTAAGCTATCTTGATTTGATATCATTTTACGATAGTATTCTCTCTCAAGAATAATGACATGTTTTGATACACAGTTGCAAAATCTATACTATTATAATAAAGCGTAAACACACACTTCTTTGTTGCCTAAGATATCAGCAATTGCAGCATATTTTTGAATATCTCCTTTTTTAATAAAAATCCATACACTTTTGTTACGCTTTAGGCTATATACTTTTAAGCCATTAAAATTAGGGGGTAAATATTTTGCATAAAAACCCTAATGTGGGAAAGAGACCATAAATTGTTGCCAACATCAAGGAATGGTTTGTCATCATGTCATGTCATTTGCAATTGATAATTTGACACGCGTAAACAATAAAATGAAATCTTCATAATTTTATGCGGATGAAGTCGCACGGGAACAGCTAGTATTAGATACATATAAATACTAGCTTTTGCTCGCGACTCCGTCCACGTGGCATTCAAAAATAGCTTTATTAATTTTCCCTTTGGAAGGGGGACTGGTATCCATACTAGGGAGGTGCCCCGTGTGAAGGATCACCAGGCCCTTGCCCGACAGACCACTATCAATCTTACAAAACCAAAAAAAAATAAATAAAAAAACATAATTAACACAAAAGTATCCTATGTGTTCCTTCAGACTACTACATCTAGGCCAAATATCAAGACACTATCAGCAGTTTAGGTGTCAAATTCTAGCAAACATCTATCCATCTAAACTTACACATTTACAATATTAGTAAGAATTAAGATAAATAGATAGGCAATTGTTTGGAAATAACAATTTGCTTCGATAATATTTAAAGGCGCCTTGGATAGATAGTCAAGTCTACTGCTATTATTAGTTTAAAAATTTCACCGCGACCGACTGCAACCAACAGTATCGAAACGACGAAAATCAAGGTACAAAATACCACAGTTTACAGCCTATCCATTAAGAGAGGTCAACCGATTACAACTTTTAAATATGTAACGTCTTCTATACTAATGTTGAAAAGAGGAAAGATTTGCATTTTTGTATGTATTGAAATACCTCAAAAACTACAAGGCCGATTTCAAAAATTCTTTGACCATTAAAAAGCTACGATATTAGTGAGTAACATAGGCTATGTTTATTTTTAATTTCATGCGTGCGAAGTCGTGAAAAACATCTAGTAAGTTATAAGGCCACGGTTTAACTCCAAACTCTATTGGCTAACATTAGTTTCAGTGTTCGTCAAGATAATTTTCCATGTTAAATTTTCCATGTTAAATTTTTATCCATGTTAAATTTTCCATAATATTTTTTTCCAATGTTAAATTTTTATCTGTGTAACGTCTATGAATATTCAGTGACATTTAGAAATATAACAATAAATTAGGCTATAGTTAAATGGATTTACGAAGCCCTCAACAACTCCCTATCAACAAACAAATAATTTCTTTAGATCGTAAATCTCAATGAATACAAATTTACAAGTTAGTAGGTAGCACTTAAAAACAACGTTAACAGAATAGAATCGATAAGTCGTAAATTATTACTTAATGTAAACAAAGTGCTTACGCTTTTATAGTTTTATGATTTGTGTCAGAAGAAATATCAAACTAAATCTATTTGAATCAATTTATTTAATTCAATAAAAGTTGAGATAGGGTACTGAGAAAATAAATCTGATCGAAAGTTGGAAATTTATGATTTCAAAGTGAACTTTGAATCTTCTTCTTCTTCGTATGTTCATTGCTGAAGTTCGTGCTTGCCGTGGCAAGCCTTTACCGTTTCATCTACCAGCTGCCTCCACGCCGCCCTGTCTTCGGCTCCTCTCAGGGCAGTCGGGATGTTGAGTCCCAGTATGGACTGCACTTGATCGGTCCATCGGGTAGGTGAACGCACCCGTGACCTTTTGCCCTCAATTTTTCCAACCACTAACTTTGAATACAGTTAACTAATCTACGTTTTATTTTTAAATATTATTATTTAATCTAATAAACATACGAAGGAATACACCAATTGGGAATTGAATTGCGAAATATTTTTTCACGCATGAAAATTTCCACATGAAGAATTTCTGTGAATGTTTTTCAAAGTTTTTTTTTTACTGGAGTAAGCCATGTTATAAATATAAGCACTTTTTTAAGTTATAAAATAATTATTTTAATTAACACCATACAAAAACATGAATATAATGGACATGTTATGCGACGAAATGATGGGGACATAAACCAGAAAGTGTTGAGATTGAATGTGGATGGCTACAAAGGAAGAGGAAGACCGAAGAAAGTATGGATGGATTGTGTGAAAGAAGATATGCTTAAGAAAGGAGTGGATTCAGATATGACGGCTGATAGAGATGTATGGAAGAGCAGCACATACTGTGCCGACCCTCCGTAAGGGATAAGGGCAAGTGGATGATGATGAAAAGCATGAATATAATATTATTAGAACACTAAGAGAGACTTAATATACCAGTAGAAAATGGCAGTGCAGTGCAGGGTAATGTGGAGCAACCGCCCAGGGCGCTGGACGTAAAAGGATGCCATATTCCCCAGATGTAAAGTAACGCTACATGCGCATTTTTTTGTAAAGTTTTGTATTGCAGTTACGGGCACCGTAAAAATCTTGCCCAGAGCTCTGGAAATGCTAAAATTAGAAAATGGTATATTACTCATACTGATTATGAAATAATCGCTCTGAGTAAGATAGGACATCTATGCTAATATTATAAAGAGGAAAGATTTGTATTTGTGTGTATTCGATTCATGAATCGTAAAAACACATTTACACTTTTACACACACTTTTACATGTAAAAACTACTGGGTCGATTATAAAAATTCTTTCACCATTAGAAAGGTAATTTATCTGTGAGTAAAATAGGCTACATTTTTACTATTTTATTTAATTTCACACAGGGGAAGTCGCGAGCAATCTTACTAATATTATAAAAGCGAAAGTTTAGATGAACGGATGTTTGTTAGAGTTTGTAGCTTAGACGGCCCACAGATCTCGATGAAATTTGTCATAGTCGTAGAGGATAGGCTGGAAGAACACATAGACTTTAATTTTTTTGTTTTAATTCTACGTAGGCGGAGTCGCGGGCAAAAGCTAGTTATTTATAAACTAAACACTAATTTAGCAAATTCCGTCCTGAAGACGATATTATCGGCTTTTCTTTTTCTTCGCAGTTTTTACTTTCAAATATAAAAAGTTACCATGTTTTACCGCAATATGCTGAGGGTTTTATACATTTGGTAAAACTATATACTGAGTTATTCAAGATTATAGATCCACACTTGGATGAACAAGCGTCACTTTCCTAGATCCGGTTGTTAACGGATATGACACAGAAATCGACTCGACCGTTACTAACAATCTTGCAATTAAAATAGAAAACAGTGAAAATATATCATAGAGTTGAAATTAATTAACAGAATCATTTTGACGGTTCAGGACAATATAAATTGTCTCAGCAAAATTGTCTTAATATTTCATCGTCTTTTAGTATTAACTAGCTGTTCCCGTGGGATTTCATCAGCATAAAATTATTTTATTGTTTACATGTGTCAAATTGTCAATAGCAAATGTCAAAATGACATGACAAGACAAAACTTGGCAATCTTGCTTCCCTGATGTTGGCAGCAACTTATGGTCTCTTTCTCACATTAGGGTTTTTATACAAAATATTTACACCCTAAGTTTAATGGCGTGAAAATATATAGCCTTAAGCGTGAGGTAAGTGTAGGGCTTTTTATTAAAAAAAAGAGTTATTCAATAATATGCTGTGATTGCTGTCATCTTAGGCAACAAAGATGTGTGTGTTTACGCTTTATTGTAATAGTATAGATAACACGCTTTTGCTCGTGACATCGTCAGCGTGGAAAAAACAAAAGTAAGTAGCCTATGTGTTCTTCCAGACTATCCTCTATAACAAATTTAATCGAGATCCTTTCAGCAGTTTAGGCTACAAACTACGTTTTGTCGATTTTCATAGAAAATTTAATTTAGTTCAAAATTGAGGGATTACAGTTTAGTTAAATAGTCTTTGGAAATTACTACTTTTATTGTGCGAAATTTTCTTTAACAACGATATCTATTAATGGAGTTGTTCTTGTTTTATTAAAAAGTATAACTTCGAATACAATTTCTAATGCAATTTTACCTCTTACATCAAAATACGGTAAACAATAAAAGTTGTTTTACGAGCTTTTAAAATTTTCCTCTACCTTAGCACGTATTTTTTATCTTCATGATAATAATTCCCATACATTATAACGCCACGCTTGTTTCTCCGTACATTAGCTTAATAGCGGCCAGACACGTCAGGTGTTGTAAGATTTTAATCTAGCAGGTTAAAACCACATGCATAACCAAGTTTCAAAGTATACACAACTGCAAACTTTAGTTCCACACGTGTTAGAGTTGCCTGTAGATTTTGCTTGTAAGGTCAAAACAGTTTGGAAAATTCTAACGTGTGTTGTCAGCATTATAGCCACCCTAACCTTCCTTCTAACGAGGGGAATGCGTTTCGAATTCTGATCTTATTACTCCCTCAATTTCATACAAGATTGTAGATATTAAGTATGTTTGATAAGCTGTTACGTACAAGAAATTTATTTTTTTCTGTATAAAATTAAATGCGTCTCGTTTACTCACTAAAAGCTTTTTCTTTGTCAAGATAAAATATTTATTAACCAATGTTCCATTTAAAACATCTTTGTAGCGCTAAATCTGTAAACCCTTGGTTATTTTCCACCTTCTACATTATTTTTAACTATGATACGTGACATTTTAAACAAGAATATTGACATGTTGATTAAAAAACCAATAAAAGACAACCAGTTAAGGTCTTAGATTTATAAAAAATGATTACCAAACTATAAGATGACAAATGAGCCAGCGGCTATATGAATTTAAAAGCGACCGATGCCCATAGACATCCACAAATACAGAGCTGTAAGCACAGTAAGACGGAATTAAAAAAAAAACATCTTACTATTTTCCAGAGAGAAAACGACCGAAGAAGAAGGTCCTTCAAGCAGTTATACCACTTCTGTTCGGCATGAAGTCAACTGGCGCCATTTTATTTGCCATGGCTCTGGTGACTGCGATTACTATGAAAGCATTCTTCGCAAGTAAACTGGCCCTTCTTGTTACGATAGGCATGGCTATGAAGAAGTTATACGAAAGTTATAGTAATGGGTGAGTATTACAGACAGTTATACATAAGGTTTATACATATTTAATGGACTTAGCGGGAAATTTTCGAGAAAATATTAATAATTTTACCAACAAAATCATCATAGGTTTGGACAGCAATTTCAGGTGTAAAGTACATCAAGAATTTTGTTGATGAAATTAGGAATATTCTCTCGAATTTTTTTTAATCTAGACTCACAAGTCAGAGAAGTAATTAATCTCATATCTGGATGTTATAAGTAGAGGAGTTCATTAAACTAGAAGTAGTTTCTTTCAAGAACATGTCACTGGGAATGCATTTTAGATTTAATTATAAAAACTATATAGTTAACTAATAATTAGATAAGATGTACTGTATGACACAACATTAGACTAGACTTCACATGTTGACTCACTAATTGACAAATAACTTTGACTGACACTTGACTCACTATTTTGACTATGTAGATCACATCACTACGTAGTTTAGAACTTAGAGAAAAAGCAATAAACCTAAGACTAGACAAATATCAACACAATTCGATATACTAATGATGTGGAACTCTAAAGAACGAAATATTGGACATATTGAAATACTTCAATTTCACTTGTATGAATTTAGCATTTAAAATTGACATTATTGAAACCGTGACCAAACAGTACGACGGAAATACGACACATGACCAAACAGAAAAACGATTGATGCAGATAAAATTACTGACCAATAAAATTTCTTTGAATTGCAGCATCGGTATGCCAAATAATCCGTATCTATACTCGCAATATCCGATCGATTTTCCGAGCGCATCATCGCAAGCGTACTCCGTAAATGGAGTCAACACGCAATTTGCTTCCCCAGACATATATAATCCCACGGCCTTGGGTTCCCAATCTCATTCGCATGAGATACATCAGAACGAAGTCACTGCACAGCAGTCGCAGCAAGCGCCGACCTTACTGCTAAACTCGACAAGATCCGCTTCAGAAAGATGGGATGGTAAGTCAAAATTACTCAAATTTCTCGAACCGATTCTCGGCTCAGTAAGAAACGTATTCGAGCCCCTCGCAAACGTCTTCTACGCGATGCCGGCAACATTCCGCGGACTCAACTCTGATGTTACCACAGCTAGCAGTGAAACGAACGCAGATGAAAATATGAAAGAATTCCTAATACCTCAACCGAGACATATAGCTCAAAGGAAAATGAATTACAGAATGGCACCGAGAACGAAAAAATACACCGAACTGAAAGTAAACTTGGAAAGACTAAGGCAAAATAAGGATTTACCCGACTATTTAAAAACAAAAAAATATAAATATAATTATCCTCTAACATATTACTATCCTAGAGTGAAATATTTTGTTAATCCTAATACATTTACAAAGCCCAATAACAGTCGTTTGTCACAATATCGAAAAGAAACTATAAGAAGAAATGAAACGATATCAAAAAACGAGAATGATTTTTTTACCGAATCAACTGATTGGAAGCCTATTATTATGCCAATCAGAAATGCTACATTAAAAGTAAACGATAAGAATAATAAAACAAAAAAAGGTAATAAAAAAAACATAAGGCGAAAAAATAAACGATCCAAAAGAGATATTAAGAAAGAGTTAGTTACTAATCCTTTCTACGAGACAGAATTAGATAACGATAGAAAAATATTTGCTGTTGGTAGAGGATTTCTTACTATTTTCGGTAGCGGTCTTTACGAATTCATCATTGATCCTATGTCTGTTATTTTCAAACACGCTGGTGAGATCACTAAAGATTTCTTAGAAGCTTCAACAAAAAAGAAAAAACCACCACCGTATTATTCCGTAGCTTATAACATGGTAATGTATAGTTTAGATGCTATTGCTGGTATGTTTGATATTACTAATGTACTTAAAGAACAATATATCGGAAATCTTGTAAAAAAGAAAAATAAAAGTAAGAATAAAGTAAAAGATAAGAAGCAGAAACCAAAAATTAAAATAACTAGCAAATTTTAAACACCAACGTAACAAAAGCAATAAGATTTCGTCCAATTAGAATATTTGATGTAATAAGATGGAAATTGTATAGTGATTGCATTTATTCAAGCATTTAGATTTAGATGTAAATGGTGATGGGTTCTAAAATTAGTTCAGAGTTTCGGATATTGTAAATATTCTATAGGTAATTTTGTAGATTGTTCAATACATTTACTTGACAATTGTTTTATTTCAAAGCATACAGATCTTGTTAAAATGGGACTACTGTCACACGTATGTAAAACCATATTCTTGTCTTTATTTTTTCAAAGGAAAAGTAAAGGATGCAAATATGTTTTCTTATATGTCGGTAGTGGAACCCCACCCTGACTGTATTTAAAACTTGTATTGCTAATGAAATAAGAAAATTGTCGATGAGATACGCAAGTTATATTTGCAAAGAGAATTTTCGTCGTATAATAATGATTGTATTATGCAGGGTACCGGGGACGTCCAATGTTTTATGGAACCTCGCGCGCTACTTCAGAATCATATTTGGCTTACCAGAAATCCCGCCGCTAAGCAATTCAGCGTCGATGTCGATGCCAATGTACGCAATGCCACAAATGTACGGCCCGACAATGCCGATGCCTACAATGGCCATGCCAACTAATCAATAACAAAATTGGACATCTGGATATAACCTTTGGAGAGAATGGACCAAGTGGCTTTAATTTGTGACCGCTCTATGTCAGATTGCCACGTCGGTAACTTGGTCCCTTCAGTTTAACGAGAGCGACGTGGTAATCTGACATTTAAGCTATTGATAAGCAGTCGCAGTGCTTTAAGTTAGCCGACCTTATTCTTAAATGTGAAGTTCCTTGATTCTTAACTTAAACCGGTCAAGTTAGCTTAAAGCATTGTATGACTCTCCCGTCCTTAATAAAATACTAAGTAAATCTTCGTAGTTTAAATCTGAAATCGTAGCGCGAGCCCGTCGACTTTATTTATTTTGATATTAGTTTAATTTATTTTATTTTTAAGGTATGTTGTAAGATTATTTATTCTGCACTGAAAGAAATAAAATATGAAATTATACATTCTTTTAATTTACGAAATACAAGTTATCGCTCGCGAATTCGTTCGCATGGAATGAAAAAAAAACATACAGACGAATTGAGTACCTCCTTCTTTTGGAAAGTCGGTCAAAAAGAAACAAAAGAGAGTAGCCTATATGTTCATCCTGACTATCCTCTACATCTATACCAAATTTCATTGACATCCGTTCAGCCATTTAGGTTACAAACTCTAACCTATCTCTAATAAACATCTATCCATCCATCCAAACTTTCGCATTTATAATATTAAGTATGATTCCTATTTTAGAACACTGGAATAAGAACATTCCAACAAGTAATTTCATAAATTTACTATAAAATATTATAGTAACTAGCTCACAGAATTATAATATAGATTTTCTTCATATAAGACAGCAAAACTCAAAAGTTCCTGAAATATAATGATGAAATAATTTTACGTAACATTAGAAGACAAGCTTTCAATTCACATTTACATGTTAAAGATACTTTTTGTGAAAAAACCTTTCCAAGTATTCAATTACAATACGCTCTAAAATGTATGGAAGTAAAATTTTCCTACGCCCACATACTATGTAAATATTTTCAGAGATTCGACGTTACCGAAATATGGAAATACCTAACAGATAAAACTGCTTTGAAAGAAAATTAAATTCCACATTTCTCGTTTTCAACTTTACCAAATTACAACTTCTTAGTAACTTTAGCTCATAAACATTCAAATTAAAGTATGGATAAAGTTTGTACGTATGCCTTTATAAACTCGACATTTTGAAATTGATGAGAGTTTACATACGAATTGGCAAGTTCAAGTCTTATTAAATGAACATTCCTTTACCTTGACTATGGGACAACGGCCAAATACTGAAACGGCATTTAATATAAAACACCGTCTTAAATGATAAGCCCTCGCTTGAATTTGAAATTCCTTTCAACATTTTGACGTCTATCAAATTGTTGCCGCTTGAGAGGACGCACACCTTTGACACAACTGTTGGCGATTGTCCATTGTTTCTGTTTCGTTGCACAAATAAAATTCGAGTAGTGTGTCTCCATATTAGCTTACATGAATCAAATTGCGACTAAACAGTGCCATAGCAAAAGGTGTGCGCGAGCTCTTAAGATACGTATTTTTAGCTATTTTAATAAATCTGTTAGAGTTAGCCATTGAAAAATGTAAACAATAATATTATTTACATATAAACTGTATTCAAGCTTGAGAACTCTACGTATAATCAAAATACGTAAGCTAGCTTAGTAATAAAATCATACAAATAGGCAAGATCCTTAACATTCCATTATTTTGATGCGTAATTCAATAAAGCCGAGTCGAAGGCGTCATAAAATATTTTTACGAGCCTTGCCCAGTGTATCTAACGACTGCTGGATTGTTGCTAGTCGACTATATGTAGAAATCACTATTGTTTTATTGTCGACTAGCTATTACTTGCGACTTCGTATACCCGTAAAATATACTAACTAGATTTCTTCCGCGACTCTGTCCGCGTGGACTTAAAAAAAATATAAGTACCCTATGTGTTCTTCCAGATTATCCTCTACGTCTATGCTAAATTTCATCGAGATCCGTCCTGCCGTTTAGGCTATAAACTCTAACAAACATCCATCCATCTAAATTTTTGCATTTATGTTATTAGTAAGATGTAGCTTTCTTATTGTGAAATTACAAAATCGGCTTAGTAATTGGTAGTCATTCATTTATAGAAAAAAAATGTATGAAGAAATAAAATACACCAAAAAAAAAAGTTCAAACGTGTGCCGAATTCCTACTTCGAAACTTTTCACATTATAAAACTTTTTAATCAAAGTTGATACAAATTATAATAAAGTTAAGAAAACGAATGATTATTGAAGATGTTTTTGAAGACACGAAAATTTACATTACTTATATTAATATTAATGTTAAGTTTCAAATAGAGTATTTCAATTGCTAGTACGTCATTGAAACAAAGTTATTTTTCTTACTTACGGACATATATTGAAACGACTTTTTAATATGAAGCAGCATATTTAGATAGTGGTAGAGCCCGCTTTAACATCTTCGCACGAGTGGTCCGGCTCGCCCGATACAATACCACAACCACACAGAAAACAGGCGTGAAGTTGAAGCAATTCGGCGTTTCGACTGCTGAGTGTAGTGCCGGAGGCCTAATTTTAGTACCTTTTCCTTCCCACCCTTTACTTAAGAGGAAAGGATGGAAAGGAAAAGTGGATTTGACGGTGGAGGAGACCCCTATGAAGGGGCAATGTCTTCTTTATCTGCGTCTCCTCCTCCGTCAATTAAGTGTAGGCAACGCATCTGCAATTGCGGATGTTTATGGGCAGCGCTCGCTTTCCATTTCAGTGGATTCTGGTCGCCGCTTGCTCGTTTGCCACCTTATATTATAAAAAAAATGATAAAGCCATATTGTAAGCGGCGCTTACGGAACTAAGTATTTGATATTCGTCTGAGAATTTGGCCTTTAGACGTCTTCTTCTTCGTCAAAGCATTTCTATTTCTATAATATTACTGTATAGAATAATCTTTAATAGGCTCTAGTAGTTTTTGAGTTTATAAATAATTTCTTTTAAAAATACTTTTTGTACAAAAAACTACAATATAGGCTATGTATTACATTTTTTCCGCTGCCCATAGATTTGACCTTTGACAGACAAAATATGTACTAAAAACAATATATTCTCTTGGTAGCTTAACAAATAGTTAAAATATTTATAAATGAATATAAAAAATAATGTAAGGATAAGTATTTCGTTCTAATGACCCATCTCATCCTGTAGGATTATCCCTCCCTCATTTAAGATAGAAGCTTTTTCGTGCAAGTGGCTGCGTCTTTGTGTTGCCAAATTCACTTGTTATGTATCTCATAATATTAAATGTTGTCATATTCGTAATACGTGTATCTTTGGAAAGATTTTATACATCATAATAGCTATCGCCTGCGACTCCGTCCGAATGGCACCATACTAATATTATAAACGCAAAAGTTTAGATGGATGGATGTTTGTTAGAGTTTGTAGCTTAAACGGCTTAACAGATTTCGCTGAAATTTGGTATAGATGTAGTGGATAATCTGGAAGAACACATAGGCTACTCACTTTTGTTTTTTTTTTAATTCCACGCGAACGAAGCTTATGTGTTGTTCCAGACTACGCTCTACATCTGTGCCAATTTCAACCAGATCCGTTCAGTCGTTTAGGTTACAAACTCTAATAAACATCCATCCATCCATTCATCTAAACTTTCACGAAGTAAGATAGCAAAACAAAATGAAACATACTATGTTATAATACTATTTTCGTTTGCTAATTTGTGAATAATTTTGCTAACATTATAAATGCGAAAGTTGATGAATGGATATTTGTTAGAGTTTGTAGCCTAATCCACTAAACGGATCTAAATGAAATTTGGCATAGACGTAGAGGAGACTCGGAGATAGGCTTTTTTTTAAAACATACAGTGGCAAACGAGCAAGCGGCCACCTGAATCCGCCAAAATGGCGAAGCGACCGCTGCCCATAGACTTCTGCAATTGCAGATGCGTTGCCTACCATTATACGACGGAGGAGGAGACGCACATAAAGAGGACATTTCCCCTTCCTATGCATCTCATCCACCGTCAAATCCACTTCCCCTTCCCAACCTCTCTTTATAAGAAAAGGGTGGTAAAGAGGGTGTTAAAAGGACTTAAATTAGGCCTACGGCACCACACTCATCAGACGCAACACGGAATTGCTTCCATTTCACGCCTGTCTTCTGTGTGGTCGTGGTATTATACCGGGCGTGCCGGCCCATTCGTGCTAAGATGTTAAAGCGGGCACTACCACTGTAAAACTACCTTTTTAATTCCATGTGGACGGAGTTGCGGGCGAAATCTAGTAAAGTAATATTTGAAAGCGACTTTTAGTTTAATACCTTATCTTACTAACGTATCTTTAACAACAAAAGTTAGAGGGAAATAAACAGAACCTTTCTTCTTCTAAACCATTCAAAACAGGCATTTCAGGAAACCCTTTTACTTCCGTAACAGCAACCCTTAACTTTACTAAATTGCTTTCCGACTTTGAGCGTACTAACTTAAAGTAAAATAAGCATAATAAGTATGCAACTTTATAAATACAGTTACAGTAGTCTTTAACATATTGGAATAGAGTTTACAATCCTTTGTTCCAGCTTTTAATATCGAATATAGGATAGTTTTTAAAGATTTTTCTTGTAAGTTTTTGTAGTATTAAAAAGTCAGTATCGCTTGTAACTTTTAATAAGATACTTTAGAATTTGATACTAGATACTTTTTATGAAATATAGCCCTATTTTAATTATTTTAATAAAAATGTTAATTTTACAAGAATATACGTAACTAATAATTTAATATACAAGATTGTGAAGATAATTTTAATCATATAGATAATATTTTTATAAACTGTTCAAGATTCTTAAACGATTACAA